GTCGATGGGCAGGTGCACCCGGCCTCCACCTGCCCCTCCGCCTTCTCTTTGCACATCTGGGGACCCCTCTCGAGGACGAGGGCCACCTCTTAAGCTTGTGTTTCCCGTGGTTCCTAACATCACGTCTCGCTCAGTAGGCACGGCCACGTTGCTGACGGATTTCCCTCCGGCTACATCATCTAAAGGTGGGAATTCCCTCCACTGCTCTCAGCTCACTTTGTCAGTAGAGCTGGAAACTTCTAAATTAATTGATTTGTCAGCCAAATGTGCTAGGTCGAATATAGTAAAGGACCTTTTCAGGGGAAGTAGTCAACGTTTTCCTTCCTGAGTTTGCCTTTGCTGGTGGATCACTGTGTCTGAGACTATCAGTTTTCAGGATCATTCCATGGATAAACAAAGCTCCTTGGAACATGCGAAAAAACAAAAACATGAAAGCTGTCCTAAACTTGTAAGACTTCTCTGATTTTCATTAGGGGTTTTTAGGACACAACCAACAAAAATGTTGGAGACGGTATTTGACAAGAAAAGAAGGCAGGTGCATTAGCCGCTCCACAGGCCTTCAGTGTCTCTTCCAAATGGGCCAAATCCTTGAAAAATGTAACACAGCCCTTTCGGCCACAAGTTGCCCATGTCATCTCTGCCGAGGTTCATCATGTGTCCAACGGGAGGGAGTCAACCACAGCTGTGGCAGCTGGGAAAATATGAAGCCAGAAATGTACAAAATTTCTGTTTTTTCAGACATTTATGTTTAGGAAATTCATACCAAATCTCTGCTTCATAAGGTCATTTTAAGATTTTTTTTTTAAAGTTAGAAAGCCATCATTTTTGTGAGCTCTGATAGGGTCAATATTTCTAGCTGTATAATACTTTCAGCTGGAAAAGGTAACCAGGTGAGATTAGATCCTAACGTGTGTGGGGGAGAGAGAGAGAGATTTATTTCTACATCTGATTCCTTTTTAGTGAATTTCTTCCCCCAAATTGTATTTGACACCCAAGTGGCTCACATGGAAGCTAGTGTAGTTCATTCCCAGTGGGACACTGGCCCTGTGAGAGGGCTGAGCGAGACAGACGAGGGGCTCGTCCAACCACCGATTCACGTAGATCTAGGCCGAGGAGCCTGGCTTTTGCTTACAAATGGAACCTCCCTTTAAGCAAACGGTGTCGGTACCATTCAAAACGCCACAGGCTCGGACAGTTCCCCGCGCACACTTGTGCCTGCCTTCTTTTCATTGCCTCCTAATTTTCCTTCCTTTATTCTGCCGGGCTCAGGCCACCACTGCCATGAACATTTGTTTATTAAGCGTCATTCTTGACTTCCTGACACCTTTACCTTGGCCTCTGACTATAAGGGGAGGGCGTTCACTTGTTAGATTTTCTGTTTCTCTTTGTGGCCTTGCGTGAAAGGGACCGTAGGGGACTTAAGGATTCGTGCCCACAGCGTGTGCATAAGCTCCCCGAGACTGGTCTTGCCTTTGGGCAACTGTGCCGTGTGTGGGGGGTGTCTTTCCGTCCCGACAAGCCATCCTTAGCTAAACGAAAGGGAAACCCCAGTCTGATGAACTATTCAGAGAACTTCAACGTGCCGAGCCCTCCGAGATTGGTAAAAAATGCTTGGTTTCTACAGAGCCCTCTCAAATGCTGTTGAGATTTACTAATTCAGCTTATGTTGCAAGAATACAGTTCTTTTATATAGATGGGCAGAAAATTATGACCTTTTATCAGCTACATCAGAAGGGGCAGGGCCCGGAGCCCCTTAAACCCTGCAGTTCAATCAGAGCGGGACTGATTAGACTTTAATCGGCCTTTGGTAGGTGACCAGTGTGACTGACAGGTAGATTGCCTCCACCTGGTCACGGTCCCCCAGTTACAATGACAAAGGACAAGCTGTTTGTCAGTTACACTGTCATCATTCAGAAGCAGGATTAATGAGGAACCTAATCCCTGTGTGTCTGGTTGAATCAGCTGACGAGTCCGTTACACGTGTAACTTGTCCTGCGAGTTCCACTCAGAAACAGGTGTAAGCAGTGCCCACCATGCTCTAGTGGTCAGCTCTGGAGTCCAGATGAAAGATTTTGTACTTTCAGGGGAGGCAGAGGAGTGATGGCGTGAGGCCGCGGCCGGCGTTCGTGACGATGGTGCGGAGGCTCTTCAGCAGTGTCCGGGCTCCTCACGCTGCCCCCTGTGTCCCTGAGAGCTCCCAGGTCGCCCCGCCTGGCAGGAGGAACTCAGCCTCCGATGGCTTCCTGAGCTTTCTGTGTCACCTGTCCCTTGCCGAGTCTGTCACTGTGCAGTCACCTGACCTGGGTCCCCCTCAGTGAACCTGTGGCCGGGGAGGCAGTGAAGGGTAGAAACAGAAGTTCTCTTGCGCACAGCGTGGAACTGTGGGCCGGGACGCTAGGCCCGTACACAGGATGCGCCAGAGGCAGAGTTTTCACTGCTGTCAGAGGAGGGGCAGGACAGGCGTAGGCGTCTCCGTGAGGGCGTGCCTGTGCCCTGTGCCCCGTCTCCGTGGGAGCGTGCCTGTGCCCTGTCTCTGTGAGAGCATGCCCTGTGCCCCGTCTCCGTGAGGGCGTGCCCTGTGCCCTGTGCCCCATCTCCGTGAGGGCGTGCCCTGTTCCCCGTCTCCGTGGGGGCGTGCCCTGTGCCCCATCTCCGTGGGAGCGTGCCCTGTGCCCCGTCTCCGTGGGAGCGTGCCTGTGCCCTGTGCCCCGTCTCCGTGGGGGCGTGCCCTGTGCCCCGTCTCTCTGTGAGAGTGTCCCCTGGGCCCCGTCTCTGTGAGAGTGTTCCCTGGGCCCCGTCTCTGTGAGAGTGTCCCCTGGGCCCCGTCTCTGTGAGAGTGTCCCCTGGGCCCCGTCTCTGTGAGAGTGTCCCCTGGGCCCCGTCTCTGTGAGAGTGTCCCCTGGGCCCCGTCTCTGTGAGAATGTCCCCTGGGCCCCATCTCCGTGCGGGCGTGCCCTGTGCCCCGTCTCCGTGGGAGCGTGCCCTGTGCCCCGTCTCCGTGAGGGCGTGCCCTGTGCCCCGTCTNGGAGCGTGTCCTGTGCCCCGTCTCCGTGGGGGCATGCCCTGTGCCCCGTCTCCGTGAGGGCGTGCCCTGTGCCCCGTCTCCGTGGGGGCGTGCCCTGTTCCCCGTCTCCGTGGGGGCGTGCCCTGTTCCCCGTCTCCGTGGGGGCGTGCCCTGTGCCCCGTCTCCGTGGGGGCGTGCCCTGTGCCCCGTCTCCGTGGGGGCGTGCCCTGTGCCCCGTCTCCGTGGGGGCGTGCCCTGTGCCCCGTCTCCGTGGGGGCGTGCCCTGTTCCCCGTCTCCGTGGGAGCATGCCCTGTGCCCCGTCTCCGTGGGAGCGTGCCCTGTGCCCCGTCTCCGTGGGGGCGTGCCCTGTNATCTATGTGTATGCATGAGAGTGTGTGTGTATGTCTGAGTGTGTATATGTTTGAGTGTGTGTGTCTGAGTGCATCTGTGTGTATGCATGAGAGTGTGTGTATGTCTGAGTGTGTATGTGTTTGAGTGTGTGTGTCTGTGTATGTGTGTGTCTGAGTGTACATCTGTGCACGCATGAATGTGCGTGTGTGTGTCTGAGTGTGTCTGTGTATGCATGAGTGTGCGTGTGTGTGTCTGAGTGCATCTGTGTATGCATGAGTGTGCGTGTGTGCGTCTGTATATATGTGTGTGTCTGAGTGTACATCTGNTGTCTCCGTGGGGGCGTGTCCTGTGCCCCGTCTCTCTATGAGAGTGTCCCCTGGGCCCCGTCTCTGTGAGAGTGTCCCCTGGGCCCCGTCTCTGTGAGAGTGTCCCCCGGGCCCCGTCTCTGTGAGAGTGTCCCCCGGGCCCACCTGAGAGCGCCCTGTGCCCTCAGCTTGCTCTCGTGCCTGCTGTTACCAGGTGAGGGCCTCCCTCCAGCGTGCGTGANGTGCCCTCAGTTTGCTCTGGTGCCTGCTGTTACCAGGTGAGGGCCTCCCTCCAGCGTGCGTGAGTAGGAGAAATGGGAGGAATTAGTGAGCACGGGTCCGAGGGGTCCTCTCCGAGGCGGATGGAAATGGGTTCACTTCCTCCGCTTTCCGCCCCTTCGGTTTGGTAAGTGAGACGCCGTGTGGCAGCTGCTCTGAGCAGCAGTCCCGGCGGCCGCGCTTTACCCACGGGCCGGCGGAGTCCCTTCGAGACGGGTGTGAGGTCCTTCCCGGGAGTCCNCGTGAGGCCCTTCCCCGGAGTCCTGGAGGCCGTCGGCCAGTGTCTGGCAGGAATCCTGTCCCTTCGTGTCGCTTAGGCAATTACCGTGTGTTGTGTGGGGAGGACATTAAGCTCTGGTCTCTTAGCAACGGTCAGGTGTCACTACAGTGCGCCTGACTGTGACCACAGCGCTGGGCACTCGGTCTCCCAAACTTACTCTCCTAACTGCAAACATGCGCCCTTTGACCAGCAGCTCCCCGGTTCCTAATTCCCTGAAACTTTCATAGCTGTGCTAAGACCACATTAACTATAAGGTGCAATAATCATTACAGACAAAGCAGATCACTTAGGATGCTCGATGGTCCTGTGTTTACCAGGAGCACCTTAAGGTAAACTTGCACCCACTCGTTCAGAGAGGGGACCCAGTGGGAGTCTCCAGTTTCTAAGTCACTGACAACATTGTCCCCCAGGATGGGCGGTGCCTCAGTCACTCTGTGGAGCTCTCCGGCTGGTCCTAGAAAAGTCACAGGAGCAGCCCACTTCTGTGCCCAGAGAATGACCGCGAGGCCTGGAGGAAACAGGCCAGCTGGTTGAGGGTGACATGCAGGCGGCATTCAGAATGCAGCTGTGCAAGGTGTGGCTTCGTTAGAGACGTGCAGGCCACCTGAGGTGGGGACGGGACACCTGAGCCAGGCCTGCACACTGTCCAGCAGACTGAGGGCTGCTGTTTCCCGAGAAGGGAAAATCATTCAGTGTGCCCAGGAACTGGCTGCGGCACCCGCCCCGCCCTAGGCAAGGGGGCCCTGGCCGCTGGGACTCATGGCCTCTCCTTCCCTGCAGGAGAAGCCGTACAAGTGCTCGGAGTGCAGCAAGGCCTTCAGCCAGAAGCGGGGCCTGGACGAGCACCGGCGGACGCACACCGGGGAGAAGCCGTTCCAGTGCGACGTGAGTGGCCGCCTCCTTCCTGTCTGGGGCCCCCACCACCAGGAGGGTGTGTGTGTGCACCTGAGTGTGTGCGTGAGTGTTGGTATGAATGGGTACATCTGTATATAAGCATGAGTGTGCATGTGTGTGTGTATGTCTGTGTGTACATCTATGTGTACATCTGTGTGTATGGATGAGTGTGCATGTGCATGCATCTATGTATGCATGTGTGTANACCAGGAGCACCTTAAGGTAAACTTGCACCCACTCGTTCAGAGAGGGGACCCAGTGGGAGTCTCCAGTTTCTAAGTCACTGACAACATTGTCCCCCAGGATGGGCGGTGCCTCAGTCACTCTGTGGAGCTCTCCGGCTGGTCCTAGAAAAGTCACAGGAGCAGCCCACTTCTGTGCCCAGAGAATGACCGCGAGGCCTGGAGGAAACAGGCCAGCTGGTTGAGGGTGACATGCAGGCGGCATTCAGAATGCAGCTGTGCAAGGTGTGGCTTCGTTAGAGACGTGCAGGCCACCTGAGGTGGGGACGGGACACCTGAGCCAGGCCTGCACACTGTCCAGCAGACTGAGGGCTGCTGTTTCCCGAGAAGGGAAAATCATTCAGTGTGCCCAGGAACTGGCTGCGGCACCCGCCCCGCCCTAGGCAAGGGGGCCCTGGCCGCTGGGACTCATGGCCTCTCCTTCCCTGCAGGAGAAGCCGTACAAGTGCTCGGAGTGCAGCAAGGCCTTCAGCCAGAAGCGGGGCCTGGACGAGCACCGGCGGACGCACACCGGGGAGAAGCCGTTCCAGTGCGACGTGAGTGGCCGCCTCCTTCCTGTCTGGGGCCCCCACCACCAGGAGGGTGTGTGTGTGCACCTGAGTGTGTGCGTGAGTGTTGGTATGAATGGGTACATCTGTATATAAGCATGAGTGTGCATGTGTGTGTCTATGTCTGTGTGTACATCTGTGTGTACATCTATGTGTATGGATGAGTGTGCATGTGCATGCATCTATGTATGCATGTGTGTATGAGTGAATGTGTGTGCATCTATGTGTATGTCTGTGTGTGTGTATGTCTGTGTGTCTTGAGTATATGTTTCAGTGTGTGCCTGCATGTCTGTATGAGTGTGTGTGCATCTATATGTATGTCTGAGTGTGTGCGTGTCTGAGTGTATGTCTGTGCATGTGTATGCATGAGTATGTACATCTATGTGTATGCATGAGTGTGTATGTGTGTGTGCATCTGTGTGTATGAGTGAGTGTGTGTGCATGTCTGAGTGTGTCTGTTGTGTGTGTACATCTATGTGTATGCATGAGAGTGTGTGTGTATGTCTGAGTGTGTATATGTTTGAGTGTGTGTGTCTGAGTGCATCTGTGTGTATGCATGAGAGTGTGTGTATGTCTGAGTGTGTATGTGTTTGAGTGTGTGTGTCTGTGTATGTGTGTGTCTGAGTGTACATCTGTGTGCACGCATGAATGTGCGTGTGTGTGTCTGAGTGTGTCTGTGTATGCATGAGTGTGCGTGTGTGTGTCTGAGTGCATCTGTGTATGCATGAGTGTGCGTGTGTGCGTCTGTATATATGTGTGTGTCTGAGTGTACATCTGTGTGTATGCATGAGAGTGTGTGTGTGTCTGAGTGTGTATGTGTTTGAGTGTGTGTGTCTGTGCATGTGTGTGTCTGAGTGTACATCTGTGTGTACGCATGAGTGTGCGTGTGTGTGTCTGAGTGCATCTGTGTGTATGCATGAGTTNGTGTGTGTATGTCTGTGTGTGTATGTCTGTGTGTCTTGAGTATATGTTTCAGTGTGTGCCTGCATGTCTGTATGAGTGTGTGTGCATCTATATGTATGTCTGAGTGTGTGTGTGTCTGAGTGTATGTCTGTGCATGTGTATGCATGAGTATGTACATCTATGTGTATGCATGAGTGTGTATGTGTGTGTGCATCTGTGTGTATGAGTGTGTGTGCATGTCTGAGTGTGTCTGTTGTGTGAGTGTGTACATCTATGTGTATGCATGAGAGTGTGTGTGTATGTCTGAGTGTGTATATGTTTGAGTGTGTGTGTCTGAGTGCATCTGTGTGTATGCATGAGAGTGTGTGTATGTCTGAGTGTGTATGTGTTTGAGTGTGTGTGTCTGTGTATGTGTGTGTCTGAGTGTACATCTGTGTGCACGCATGAATGTGCGTGTGTGTGTCTGAGTGTGTCTGTGTATGCATGAGTGTGCGTGTGTGTGTCTGAGTGCATCTGTGTATGCATGAGTGTGCGTGTGTGCGTCTGTATATATGTATGTGTCTGAGTGTACATCTGTGTGTATGCATGAGAGTGTGTGTGTGTCTGAGTGTGTATGTGTTTGAGTGTGTGTGTCTGTGCATGTGTGTGTCTGAGTGTACATCTGTGTGTACGCATGAGTGTGCGTGTGTGTGTCTGAGTGCATCTGTGTGTATGCATGAGTTTGTGTNTGCATGAGAGTGTGTGTGTATGTCTGAGTGTGTATATGTTTGAGTGTGTGTGTCTGAGTGCATCTGTGTGTATGCATGAGAGTGTGTGTATGTCTGAGTGTGTATGTGTTTGAGTGTGTGTGTCTGTGTATGTGTGTGTCTGAGTGTACATCTGTGCACGCATGAATGTGCGTGTGTGTGTCTGAGTGTGTCTGTGTATGCATGAGTGTGCGTGTGTGTGTCTGAGTGCATCTGTGTATGCATGAGTGTGCGTGTGTGCGTCTGTATATATGTGTGTGTCTGAGTGTACATCTGTGTGTATGCATGAGAGTGTGTGTGTGTCTGAGTGTGTATGTGTTTGAGTGTGTGTGTCTGTGCATGTGTGTGTCTGAGTGTACATCTGTGTGTACGCTTGAGTGTGCGTGTGTGTGTCTGAGTGCATCTGTGTGTATGCATGAGTTTGTGTGNCTGTGTGTGTGTATGTCTGTGTGTCTTGAGTATATGTTTCAGTGTGTGCCTGCATGTCTGTANGTGTATGTCTGAGTGTGCATATGTCTGAGTGTGTGTGTCTGAGTGTACATATGTGTGTACGCATGAGTGTGTGTGTGTGTCTGAGTGCATCTGTGTGTGCATAAGTACACCATTNATGTCTGAGTGTGTGTGTCTGAGTGTACATCTATGTGTACGCATGAGTGTGTGTGTGTGTCTGAGTGCATCTGTGTGTGCATAAGTACACCATTTATGCCGTTTAGACTCCAAGGCATTTTGTTTAAGAGGTTTAATAGGAAACTGTCAATGCAGTGCATTCTGGGGAGAAAGATATTCTTTTGGGGAGTGGCCCCCGATGATTAAATACAGCGGCTGCAGGGAGGGAGGGAGGTGGGCGTGCAGAGCACACCCATGAAGTGCAGATGACTCTTGGGAACTGAGTTAACTTTCTTCACCCTTATTGGGTGTTAACGTCCACTCATTTCAGGAGCAGTACTGCCTGCCGTCCATCCTGGCGACAGGGACGGGCACCGTGTCCCTTGTACAGAGGAAGGACGTGTCACGTGTCTCGGTCTCTCCTAGGTGTGTGACTTGGCCTTCAGCCTGAAGAAGATGCTCATCCGACACAAGATGACTCACAATCCCAACCGTCCGCTGGCAGAGTGCCAGTTCTGCCACAAGAAGTTCACCCGGAACGACTACCTCAAAGTGCACATGGACAACATCCACGGCGAGGCCGACAGCTGACGGCGCGGGCGCCTCGGGACGGCCCGCGGGGCCCCGGCT